CACTGTGACCAAACCATATTAACATTGAACTACTTTGGGCAAGTGATTAGGATTTTTCATTTTATTTAACAGATTATGATTACTAATACCAATGTATTTCATTGATATTTGCAATCATTGTTACTGAATGAAACTGATTCATTCAGTCTTTTGTTGTGATTAGCTGTGATTGGGCAAAGCAGATCACATGATACAGATGAGTTGTGATTGGCCCTGACTGTATCATGTGGCTGCCTTGACCAGTCACAGCTTACAACATAATTGTATACAATGGATGGCATGACAGGAAGCCATCCATTGTATACAATTGACATGTGACCTGCTGTGATTGGTCACAGCGGTCACATGACACTGGCAATGGGCTGGTGTAGTGATATGTCATTGGCTGTGTCCCATGGACACAGCCAGTGACAGATCATGCCACTGCTTTGCCCCGTGGCCACATGAGCGACTCGTTTTGACAGGACGCCATATGAGGCCCAGTCACAACGGCGAGTGTCGCGCCCAGCAGTCAATCTGCTATAGGCCAGGCGGGAAGGTGTTAAAGAAGCAACTTTGGATGTCTCATCTTTAGCTGGCTGCTAAAAGAGAAATATTTGTGAAGCAATAATTAATTGTCATGAAGTGAATCTTCAAAAGATATCCAAAAATGTTTTACAGATTATTGAAAATGAGGCTATTTGAGAGTATTTGTAATGAGAATTATTTTGTGCTTACTTTTTATTAGGCTTTCTGCAATAAAACTGAAAATCAGGGAAACATAAAAGAAAAACAATAAAGCGGAACTAAAAACTTAGCAAAGAAAAAAAAATATATTACATGCAGTTTTATGTCATAATGTGCTAGTATGCGTTGCAGTTTTTGATAGATTTCCATATTAAAAGATGCCTTCCTGCATTGACCTGCCAGTTCTCAGGCACTTCCATCTTCTCCCAGTCTTCCTTCTGGGTTTGAACTGTTTTGCTGTGATGGGCTGCAGTGGGCTGCGGTGGGCTGCGATGGGCTGCGGTGGGCTGCAATGTCATTACTCCCACTCATGTGCACAGCAGTCACTTCATCACAGCACAGGAAGGGTGCCATAAATGTACTATGATATGTGCATGCATGTGCATCTGTGTACATTACCGCTGACAGGCAGGGGGAAGCATTTATGACATGTAACCAGGTGCTGGACTACAGCAACATGATATGGAGACATCAGGCTTCATTCACAAAGCAGTATCTTACTACATCCGAGTATGCGGTAAGATACCACACAGCGTTTTCCAAACGTTTTTTGAAATTCACTAAAAACGCACTAAAGTATGAAGTAATGCGGTACTTTAGTAGTGAATACATGCAGTAATTTAACACCTGCGGTAGCCAGTGTTTTTGTATTTACAGTAGTAAATAACATATTATTAAGGACTGGGTGGCCGCTCGTCTTTAACAACCGGTCAGTCCTCGCTAATAGTTGAATGTAAACAAAGCAATTGTCAGCAATTAAAAATTACAAAAAAATAGTGTGGGGGTCCCCCCCAATCCATACTACCTTTTGTACCACCTCCTCCTTCCTTTAGATTGTAAGCTCCACGAGCAGGGCCCTCCTATTCCTTCTGTACTGAAATGTATTGTAATTGTACTGTCTCCCTTTATTTTGTAAAGCGCTGTTGTAATGGGAGTCATTTTGGGTGGGAGGGCCCATGGAACCCAGCTCACTTTGGAGAGGTGGGGAGACCCCTGTCTCAGCTCCCCATATCCCTCTTATGTGTAAGTCACCCTGTGCCTGTTAGGGGTATAGGGTGATCTGTCCTAATATTGTGTAGACATGTATAGGTGGGGTGGGGGTTGTAGATTGTTTAATGCCATGTGGTTGCATCCCATTGTTCTATTGTGTGTCTTGCTTGGGAGCAAACTATTATGGGATGTATGTGTTTATGTGTATTGGCTTGGTGGTGGGGTGTCTCCAGCAGCCCTCCCTCCTGATGGGACTGTCTGTTGGTGTGTCTCTTGTTACTACATGTAGATTGCCCCGCCCTGTGTCATTATGCAGGGAGGGGGGATTGTTCCCTTGAGTGTATATATCTTGTATCTGTGTTAAAATAAACTAGTCTACTTTCTGGTTTACTTCAAGACTGGTGTCGTCTAGTCTTGTATGGTCGGCAGTGGTGTCTGTTGTTGGTGTTTGGACAGGGAAGCAGTATTCTAACGGAAATACCCAAGCGTAGCCTGGGGTCGGTTTCATTACAGCTGTGCAAACTGTTGGTGCTATATAAATCCTGTATAATAATAATAACAATACCAGGTCCTTGAGGTCTGGAATGTATTTTAAAGAGAACCCTATGCCAAAAAAAAAATGGCTTAGTGCCCCCCCCCCCCAAATTCATACCAGACCCTTATCTGAACACACAGCCTGGTAAGTCGGGAAAGGGGGGGACGAGCGAGTGCCCTCTCCTGAATCATACCAGGCCACATTTCTGAACCATATCAGGCCACATGCCCTCAACATGTTGATGAGGACAAGGGCCTCTTCCCCACAACCCTGGCTGGTGGTTGTGGGTGTCTGTGGGTGGGGGCTCATCGGAATTTGGAAGCCCCCTTTAACAAGGGGGCCCCCCAGATCCCACCCCCCATGTACTTATTACCCCCACTCATTCACCAAAAAAGTAGTAAAATAGAATGTTTTTTGACAAGTCTTTTATTGAAAAAAAAAGTTGTTCCATGGTGTAGATCCAGTGTCAATCACGATGAACGCTGGCTGTTGGTGCCTCCGGAGGTCATGCCCCCTTATGATGTCATCGACCCAGCATGCCCCAGTTAGTGATGTCACAAGGGGGTGGGGCCACCCGGTGAGCCCATCCTTTAGTTCATTCAGCAGCAGGAGGTGGCAGAGCTGTCATTCGGCAGGTGCCTGCATCAGGAGATGACTTTTTTTTCTCTTTTTTTCTCTTTTTCAGATTGATGGCCATGTAGTTTACTGGTTGTTAAGGATGCCAGCTGCTGCTGGCATCCTTAACTATTGCATGCCTGCACCACTACATATTTACTACATACATTCATTTATTTATTTCCTTTTGTGGATTGACTTTAACTCCTGTTTTATGTAGTATATGCCTTTTTGCTGTTTGTGGTAAATACTGCAGTATTTGGGAAAACATCTAAATACTGCATGCAGTCTGATTTTTTGAATAGAGCCCATTGCCCTTTACTTTATTCTTCTCTCTCTACTGAGATACTGGTGCTTTGCTGCACCATTCTTCTCTGACCAGCAGAGGGAGAGCTAAAGCCAAGCAAGCCTATAGGCTTCTATGCAGAGTGCTGAGAATCGTGGGAGCTGTAGTTTGAGAGGGCAGTCATTTAATAGTTACACTACATTTCCCAATATGCACTGTGCAGTAGGAGGATTGGAAACAAGATTTTTATTAAACTACCTGGGAAGGTTCTTCCTCTTGGCACCAAGGGAGTTGGAGAGAGAGAGCTCCTATATTTGAATATTCGCCTGCCAACTGGAGATCAAACCAGCAGAGACCCAAACCTGAGAATGGGAGTGAGGACATCTGGGTGCATCATAGAACTGCTCATATAATAATCCTGTATAATATAATAATAATAATAATATCACAGTATCTGCACTGCCTCGCCCCTTCCCACTGCTCTTTACCATAGGCTTTTGGGGAGATACTGATGGGTCCCCCCTTTTACAGCAAGATGTCACCAAATCATGGTGACATGGCTATTCACCCATAGCTGATATTGCTAGCATGGATTGAGCCACTCAGAGCAGGACACCAAGTGTACCCAATCCTTACCACACCCATACTGCACCTTATGCTACACTTATTCCAAACCTAGACTACACCTATACCAACCCTCTTTCTCAGTATACCGAACCTTTACCGCATCTGAAATACATCTACTTTGCATCTGTGCCAAGAATATACTGTACCTGTACTGCACCTATACTGTATGCAGGTTAACTGGGAATGTGGTTAAGTGCACCAACACTCTTACCAACCCTGTTTCTCAGTATACTGACCCGTTACCACATCTGAGCTACATCTACTTTGCATCTGTGCCAAGACTATACTGTACCTATACTGCACCTATACTGCATGCAGGTTAACTGGGAATGTAGTTAAGTGCACCAAAACTCTTTAAGGGCCCCAAGGACAGCTGGCAGAAGAACATCTTAAAGCATTGCCCCTCCTGTAATAATTATTCTGCTACCCCCTTTGTTCCCCTGCCCCCTCTGCTACCATTCTCCTTTTCTTTTGGACAGTGTATACCCAGTCAGTCTAAGACTAACATCGATACCAAAATGCACTCTGGCAGTATAGTTCCTGCACTCGGTAGATTAAACTTTACTACTGCTCACTGCTGCACTTGAAATGGCCTTTCTACTGTTTATGCTGATCTGGATGCCACATGTCATCTTATGCCTCTTCCTGACTGTTAATCACTTTGTATGCAAACTTGTGTTGTTAATTGTTGTTCCACTTTATGCTTGCCTAATTACCAACTTGTTGGGTGACAATATGTTACGTTTGCCATTACTGCATGGTTTGGTGCCTGTTCTCCTTGATATAACTCTACTACTGGGCATTAAGTAATACCTTCATAGTGAAGGTTGACTGGCATATACTGTTGACAGGTGTATCATTCAGCCTACTTTATTGTCTACATAGTTCATGTACTTGCAATCTATTCTTTTCTATTTCCTCTCTTTTTTATGTTAATATACTTTTCTGCGTTGTATTTTTCTATTGAAACAAGTGCCTTGTTTTTGCTGTAAGAATCATTTGAAAATGTACTTTTTTTTACAGTTTACTTTTGCAAAATAAAACCGTTTGTAAACAAAAAAAAAAAAAAGTATTACCTTCATAGACTTCCTGTGATATTGAATGTTTGTACACGCAACCTGGTGTGTTAGGGGAGCTGAGTTTTTTTTTTGGAAAAGGTCAAGACAAAGAACAGAGAACCCATTCTAATCAGTGGCTCTTAATAAATAAATACATACAATTAGGGCAGGGGTGTCAAACTGGTGGCCCTCCAGCTGTTGCGAAACTACAAGCCCCATAATGGAAGTCGTGCTTGTAACTGTCAATCTTGCAATGCCTCATGGGACTTGTAGTTTGGCAACAGCTGGAGGGCCGCCAGTTTGACACCTGTGATTTAGGGTCTCTTCTGTTATAAAAACCCTGCCTGTCAGCAGTTTTTACATTTTGAGTTTAATACCACTTTAATGCAGATCTGTATTTGTTAATACAACACTAAAGGAATATTTTTTATTGTTTTATTAATTTATTTTATTTATACACTACTTGAATTGGACTTGGTATACGTCTCTTGTTATCCCTTCAAGGAGCACTTAAACTGGGAGAGGTAAGGGCCTCACTTATTGCTAGTTTTCTGTGCTTCCTGCAAATGTGCTGAAAGAAACAAGTTGATAGGAGAAGAAAGCACTTATGACTTAGTCATAAGTCCAATGACGAAACGCGTCAGAGGAAGTGACATCAGACGCACAGCGGAACCGGAAGTGACCAAGCGGCCATTTTGGATCCTGGAAAGTCCTAGATAATACACATGAGAGGTATCTCAGAGGATCCCCAGAGGTCTGGCTGCTATTAATCTGGTTCATGGCAATTCTAAAGATGAAGGATTATGTAAGCATGTAATAAAGTATTTTTCTGATGATTATATGCGGATTCACACTATTATTTACTCCATATATATGATGGGCATTGTCAGGGATCCCCGCGGCGCTGGTCCCGGCGCAGGCGCAGTGCGCTGCCCTGTGCAGGGACGCTGGCACTAGGTCCTGGCCGGCCGCGGCGTTTGGGTTTGCGCATGCGCAGTAGAAGCCGCGGACGCGCGCTTGGCACCAATGACAGCGCAGGGCGCGATATTTAAACGACCCTGAGCTGTCATTCAGTGCCTTCTGGTCTCTCCTGTATCCCTGAACCTGCGAACCTGTGCCCTGTAAGTTACTGACCCGGATTGTACCTGACCTTGCTGTATTCTCCTACTCTGACCCTTGGCTTGCCTGACCTCTCTCCTGGATGCCCCTTATTAGATCTGACCTTCTGTTGCTGACCTGGCGTGTGACTTGACTAATCTCTGCCCGCTGCTTTGTACCGCACTGTCCCCACCGTTACCGACCTGGCTTGTCTGACCTCGCATCTGCTCAGCCATCCATCCATCCCAACGGGGTCACCCGACCTCCTCATATCAGGCTCTTCCCCATGGGAGCCCTGGCGACTACCCCTACCACTGACAGGTATACTCAGTAGGCACGACCTGGTCTCAGGGTTCTCCAAGTCCATCCCCACCATCAGGGGCCCTGGTGAACAAGTACTCTGGGGCTTAGATTCTGGGCTCTGGGGACGCCTGATCAGTGGAGTGCTAGTGGTACCGCCGGGCGGTCCCTTACAGGCATCGTTTTTTTGGAGCATGGTGTTCCGGAAAGAGTTTCTATGTGATTGTGAGGATCTCTTTGGTGGAACATCACATATGACTACACCCTGCCTAGATGATTACAGGCCCTGTGTTTTTGGCATTTGGTAAGGGTATTTAATTGCACATTCTAGAAGTGTACACATTTTTCACAAGTTTTCACTGTTTTGTTTTTTGTTTGGTTCACGAGATTGTTTCACTGACACATTTACACGATTGTTCACTTTTGCCACTATTAGTGATCCCAAGTGTTGTGTGTTGGAAGCACATGTGTTTATACTCAAGTTGTTAAAGATAACGCACTATGTGAGTTTTTCCTTTTTTTGAGGTTCTGTGGTTCCTGAAATCACTTTGGAGGCTGTTTTGCAACATGGAAGTTTTTTTGAACTTATGGACTTTTTTTGATTTTTTGAATGACTATATTTACTTTGGAGGACATTCCAAATATTGGGATTGGGATATTTTGTATTTATTGGATATTTTGGACACTGTTTGATTGTGTTGTAAGCATATTTATTGATTAGATTATTACACTTTTTGGAGTGAAAGTGTTTGCATGCGTTTTAGGGAATTTCAGTATATTATAAAGGATACCGTATATTTTACTTAATGATCAGAGACATAACCTCATCAGTCTCCTGCTCTTCCTTTACTTTCCAGTCAGCAGGCTGCTGATGGTTTGCTGACACATCTGTATTTCCCAACACAACCAAAGAAAGTGGTATCATAAGCCTGACTGATCGGTAGCAGAGGTATGTAAATCTTAGCACTGAATGGACAGAAATACAAATCTTTTAGTAGGCTACATTATCTTGACTGCCTGTAGATCAAAATTAGGTTTCCATAGCAGTTAATAAAAACAGACTTCCAATTTGGTGTTTTATTACATGGTCAAAAATCAGCAAATGTCATTTTATTTTGTCTTCATTCCCGGACTTGCAAACAGGTCTCAAATTATCCTGAAAGTACAAATAACTCTAGTATCTGCCTGTACAAGATGTTCTTCCATTTGCATAAAATGACTCAGCCAGTGACTCATCCCCGATGGTGCAGGCACGTTAAATGACTCAGCAAGTCTCTCTGGAGGGCAATATATTGCAGTTTCAGCCTAAGAAAAAATGGCTACAAGTCCTTGCATGCATGTCAAAAGCAAAATTCTGAAATGTCTAGACATTTACCTTTAGAAGATCTGCCTTGATTTTTCAATCCAACATTCCTGACAGATGATTTTGGTGACAGGTCACCAGGCCACTTTGATTACTTTTCTTTAGGGGCCGGTTCACACCTGAATCAGTTTGAATCACATTCCTGAGCAATTCCAGTGTGGTGCCATTTTCAGGACATGCAGTTGAATGGGTTGAGGTCACCATGGATCACACAAAAAGTAGTGCATGCACTACTTTTCAAAAATGCACTGTGCAATTCCAGTGTGGTGCCATTTTCAGCCCATGCAGTTGAATGGGTTGAGGTCACCATGGATCACACAAAAAGTAGTGCATGCACTACTTTTCAAAAATGCACTGTGCAATTCCAGTGTGGTGCCATTTTCAGCCCATGCAGTTGAATGGGTTGAGGTCACCATGGATCACACAAAAAGTAGTGCATGCACTACTTTTCAAAAATGCACTGTGCAATTCCAGTGTGGTGCCATTTTCAGCTCATGCAGTTGAAAGGGTTGAAGTCACCCTGGATCACACAAAAAGTAGTGAATGCACTACTTTTCAAAAATGCACTGCAAAAAATTGCATGGTACCATGGCACCATGCGATCCGGTGGATGCAAATGCACTGCATTTGTGATTTGCATTTGGGTGCCATTAGGATTATATTGACATCTGGGACCCACAGAAGATCGCACACAAATGCGTTTTGAATGCAGTGTAGGAAACGCATACGAAGTATGGGTTTCCCGCTCAACTTTCTGGTGTGAACGAGCCCTAATGCTCAGGTCAAAATAAATAAATACAATATATGAAAGTCATTTTACTTGGAAAATCATTTGTCTTTTTGTCCACTCATTTATGGTTTACACAGCTCTGACACACAAGTAGCCTACAGACAAGGTTTTTTTCTCTACTGTAGAAACATAATGCAACTAGGTCTTCTTCCCTACTCAGCTTGTGATTGGACAGTGAAGGAGAGCTCACAGAGGAGATCATCACTCTAAATCTGCTGTTTATTCATGTCAACATGGCCTTAGTTAGCACATGATCAATTGCTTCCTTATAGATTCTCCCTCTACCAGCTTGATCTCTGCTGTCCTGGGGACTGCAAGAGGCTGCTACTAAGTCAAATTCAGGTGATTCCACTTCTTGCTTTGAAAAATAATTTTAAAGCAAATTTCCACTTTTTCAGAAAAATTTGAGATAACCCCACTTTATGTTTGTTATGTGTTCCTATTCACACAACATACCTAAAAAATGTTTAAAAATAGTTCTTACTTTTTAGATTATTCTAAGGAGAAGTTATCATGGCTGATTCCAAGAATTTCTGGACAGTCTTAGAGTGTCTTTGTCCCCACACACTGAGCTATGCCTTATTAATATACAATCTGGGATGGCGGTTTTTAAATTTTTAACCCTTTGTTTAGGACACATTGAGGTTGATTTACTAAAGGCAAACAGACCTTGCACCTTGCAAAGTGCAGTTGCACTCTGCAATTGCAGTTGCTCCAGAGCTTAGTAAATGAGGTACAGCTTCACTTTGCAAAGAATACCCAATCACGTGCAGGGGAAAAAAAATACCAAAGAACAGCATTTTTGCTTGCAAGTGATTGGATGATGGAAGTCTTTAGAGCTTTTACTCATTTACTAAGCTCTGGAGAAACTGCTCTTGCAGAGTACAACTAGCCTTTGCAAAGTGCACAGTCTATTTGCCTTTAGTAAATCAACCCCACAGTGTTCGGATCAAGTTTACAGCTGATAACAAAGAACTGTGAACACAGTACAGACAGAGTTAAATATGTTAAACATTGCTCTATAACTGGCTCCTAAGCATCACAAAGCAACGAGCATGCAAAGATTTTTAAGCAAGTAAACTACACTTGAAATAGTAATCAGCAATTTTTAAATATATTTTTAAGTTATACTATGTTAAAAGGAAAATGCCAAAAACATAAAGTAGGTGTTATCTCTAAGATGCCAAGAAGTCAAATGGATGAGCTCAACCCGTTAAAATCATTGGTTTGTTATATATGCTGAAGCTAAAATTAAGTACTGTTTAGTGAAAAGCAAGCTGGAAGTCTCTGTTCTCCTTGCTGTATTGCTGTCTGTATGGATATGATTTAACCTCCCTAGTGGTCTGATTATGTCCATATTTCTGTGCTCAAAGCGGTACTTTTTTTGCATGGAAATATGTATTTTTTTTCATTGTAGGCCTGTAATTTTAAGGAATAGCTCACTGAAATCTGTCCGCACAAGAGTCTAGTAAACATCCCAGGTATGTTAAAATTTTAAACACACAAAATCATAAATTATAATTTAATAAATAATCATAAAAAATAATAATATAAATAATAATACATTTAATTCAATAATATAATCAAACCAAAAACACTGAAATTTGAAATATAGCGCCAAGTTCGCACATCACTGAGCAAAGTCGCAGGATCGTTTTCAGTGTCTGATGACGAACTTCCCCATGAATCATTATCACTCAATTCTGCAAGTGGTTCTGATTTACTATCGCTGTTCTCTAGCTGGTCTAAAACCGATTTTGACCTAAAGGGACACTTTTTGGATGCCATGGACGTTTCTCAGTTTCCAGGCAGAAAGAACAGTAAAAATGCAGGCAGGGCACAGGACAAAGCACTTGGGACAAAATGTCTGTGAAATGGTTTGATACAGTAATGTATTACTATGTGATTTTAGTGAATTTAGTGAATGTCACTTTTTGTCATTTTCAAATTTCCCGCCAGTTTCATCCCCGTACGTCCCGACGTCGCAGGGGATGGAACCCAGATGACAGATGCCGGCATTCGCCGGAGGACATTACAGGGGACACTGCAGGACGGAAATTGCGGGAGCGCAGGACAAGGTAAGTGATCAAGGGATTCCGGAGCACCGCCGCATGGTAAGCCCGAATGTAGCTCGGGGTTACCGCTTGTGGTACTGAAACTTTACCCCGAGCTACACTCGGGAATACCGCCAGGGAGGTTTTATTGGATTGTGGTCATCTGTTTGTCTTCTATGTATCTTTCAGGTAGAAACTGGAGTAGCACCTGATATTGGGAAAGAGAAGGATGAACCGACCTGGAGCGGTATGTTCTTTTGTTTAGGTGTTATTCCAATTTGGCTGCAAATGTGGAAATACATTTTAAATGTTATGTAAACTCTAACAAAGAACTTCTCTTATTTTCGTCCCATTTGCTGTGTTAAAAATTTTTGTTACATATGTTTGATAAGTGCAAAAAAAATTACCTGTTGACCCTGCCTGAAATCCTATCTGCTGATAGCATTGCACATTCATCTCTGCCTCTGAAGACTGTTAAATGTTATATTGTTCCCAGCTAACTGGAAACTACAGAACCTTGACCCAGTTATGGCAAAGAGGAGAGGAGGAAGTGTCCTAGGGTGGGGAGTGATGCTTCTCCATAGATACAATACAGTGGGTGAGTGCCCCAAACCTGACAGGGCCCCCCTAAAAAAAACACAGTTTACTATGCTTCAAATATGAATCAGTACTGGTCACTCATTGTGTTCATTTAGGAAAGGAAGGAGCTGGGAAATGTGACTTATTTAGAGGACCCTTCCCCAACTCTCCATCCTGAAGGATCCTATTGTGTTCTTGCAGCTGCTGGTGGGAAGGAGAGGAGGAAAGCCGGAAGCACTGCGGGGGTGGGGGTACAAAGAGGGGCCTGGTCAGCTGGGGGAAAGGTATGATGCACAGGGAGGGTGATAGGTGCACAAGGGGGGCAATTACTGGAACCAATCCCCTGTATGGCTCCCACTGCAGCAGCTGAAAGCCAGCAGGAGGGAGAGGAGAAGAAGCAAGCTTTCAGTTTCTGTAGAAAGAGCCATACAGGGGATCAATTTCAGTAATTTCCCCCTCGCCATGCCGATCACCCTCCTTGCCCAAATCCGATTCACCCAGCTGCCTTGGCCCCCCTGCTTGCTTGTGCCCTGTACAGGAGCACTGGTGGTACCCCCTTATCCATGGCCCTGGGTGAGTGTTTTCACCTTAGGACAGGAAGTGTGTTAATGGCAGGATCACCAGGTGAGAATAAAGGGAAAAAAGTCTGAAAAAAAGAAAACTAGTGCAGCCACCACATTTAATTACTGGTGAGCTGCATAGCTGTGAGAGCTGGTGTATTTTCTTTATCTGCTTGACGTTCAGCTTTAAACCTGAAGTTTTATCTGCTCATATTTTCCCTTCTTTAGCCCCCCATCAACACATTAAATACATTGTTAAATATAACTTTTTTATTTTCATTATAGACCTTTTTTTAGACCCAGTGACATCATCAATGGATCTTTTTGCTTCTCTATGCAAGACAGGCAGATTATGACTGGAGGGAGGGGTTGGAGAGGTGCTGTACATAGCGTCGTGAGAATATCACATCACCCTACCTCAATACTCCTTTCAAGACCCATCAGTCCTGATGCAAGCGGTGGGCTGGCTCTTAAGAAGAGCTATTCAAATATCAAAATGCCTTGATGGAGGGATGGAACACCTAAACAGACTGTATTTGAATGCATAGCATCCTAAGTAACGCCCACATGTGATGCTGAGCCTCCATGATTGAAATAACTAAAATCAATAAATGAAAGTGGCATGCTAGGGACACTAGGGCTGGGGAAGAAAGAGTTAGATGATGCTGAAAGTCACCCAGGTAGGACACTCTGACTTACTACAGATTTTTAATGCACCTTAAGGGACTGTCAACGTTTTTGTTTGTTTGAATATACATTTTCATTGAAAGAAATTTCATGAGCAATACAAATGAACTCAAAACATATGGAACATCATTGCATAGTATATATATATATATATGACATCCAAGTTCGTTGAGGTGTGTGGCATAGATGGTAGGTATAGTGATTGGGGACAGGGGCACAATGCAGCCCCAGGTATACTTGGGATGTGTGTCCACAGCTAACTTGGTGTACCATGGAAGAAGCATTGTAGATACAGTGGGGGATCCCCCATCAGGGACCACTTTGTACTCTCATAACTGCTCACTTTACAAAATGAAGGTAGACATGACAGTTACAATACAATTTGGTAGAAGAGGAAACAGAGGGCCCGGCTCGTTACAGCTTCCAAAACATTACATTTAAACCAAAACCTGTGGTCTCATTTTTAGTCAAATAGGATGTATACCACAAAGAAAGGAAAAGCAGAGAATAGCTGAGAAAAAAAGATGAACAGGAAGAGAGACTACTACGATGTGAGAGGGGAAGGAGGTAGGAAAGAATGAAGATCAGGAAGGGAATTTGGATATGGGTTTGGGACACATCATCCCTCGGTTCCAAGGAAAGTTAAATTGTTCGTAGAGAGTCATTGAATTTCCCCAAGAAATAGCGAGCGATCAAGATTCCCGATTCCAGATGTTTTTTTTTTTTTTTTTTACTTTATCATGGAGAATGGCCACCAACTTTTTGTTGAACAAGTACCATGACATTTTTTGTGTAACCTATGTACTGTAACAGTTAGGGGACCAGATCACCAGGCTCTGACCAACGTCTGTCTGGCAGCTATGTAGATAATGGTCAGAAATCTAAATTTGTGAAGAGTGCAGTCAGATGGTTTAAGATTCAGTAGAGCTTCATATGGACCCTTAAGGATACATAAGCCTGAAACAGTATAAACTAACTGGTAAACCCTGGACCAAAAACATTCTATTATAGGACAGTCTCAGCATATATGTACTAAAGTGCCAGCTGCTTTGCAACCCCTAAAACAATGGTCTAAAGGGCCTTGAAGGAATTTGGCCAGTCTACAGGGTACCATATACCATCTAAACAATCATTTATAGTTGACCTCATTAAATTCATCGATCTAAATAAATATATGGGAAGATCCAAAATATTGAACTAGCATTAGAAATAGAGTGGAAATCTTCCAATGGGGGACACTTGTTCTGGTGAAAACTGTTTAGGAGTGCTTATCCCTCATTTTGGAGAGATTTTTTTCACTTCCTGTTGTGTATTCAGGACATGAAGTAAAACCTCCCGAATTGGACACAAATGTCAAAAGAAAACAGCATTTTGGCATTCCCTACTCTATCAAAAAACTTCAAAAATTATTTGGCTTTACATACCATTAAAAATTTTAAAGGATAAGTTCACCTTTTAGAAAAACATAATAAATGCGCATTTTTTTGAAGGTAAAAAAATGTGCATTTATTATTTTTATCTGCAAGAGCCTGTAAACCAGGGACACCAAACTGGCGGCCCTCTAGCTGTTGAGAAACTACAAGTCCCATCATGCCTTTGCCTTTGGGAGTTATGCTTGTAACTGTCAATCTTGCAATGCCTCATGGGACTTGTAGTTTGGCAACAGCTGGAGGGCCACCAGTTTGACACCCGTGCTGTAAACCATTGCATCAGTGATCAGCAGATCATTGGTGCCATGCAGGTCTCCTGCAGATCTGTCAGTATATCTGCTTGCCGTACGGGATGTACAAACAAGGAGGTATACAGACAGGAAAAATTATGTACTATCAGGGCACTTCACAGCACCGTGGTAGTTCATTGAGAACTACAAGTTGACAGCTGCTAAGGTTGCTTTCACACCTATGCAGTCTGCTTTTTGTCCATTTTGCAGTGCTTTTCACAGTTCCTTTTTCGTTTTTCTACAAGCATTTTTGATGCATTTTTTACGCATTTTTTGCCGCATTTTGCATTTTGTTCAGCTCTTTTTTTTTTAAAGTGGAATTTTTTTGCTGGGCAGAATAAAAATGCAAAAAGCAAAATGTGGCAAAAACGCGGCAAAAATGCACTACCATGCATTTCAGAAGACTCTCCATTGAACTCAATTGTAGCAAATACGCTGCTTTTTGCTTTTAAAAAAGTCCCTGACCCTTTTCAAAAATTCAGCAGCTCAAAAAAGCATAGATGTGATTATGTTCCATAGGAAACCAGGTTAAATGGACTGTAATGCGTTTCTTTAAAAAGCACTAAAAAACGCATTGGTGTAAATGGAGCCCAAGGCTCTCAGTACTTGTAGTCTCCCATTCACAGATGACTGTGAATGAGTGATGTGGGTGGAGCTACAGCTTTTAAAATTCGACAGCTAGCAAGAGGGGAAAGATCTCCCGCTAGCTGTCAAAGTGGGGATAGGGTAGGGACCTCCTTCTCTGTAGTTCCCTGGTCTCCTCCTCCCATGCCCGCCTCCAGGACTTCTCCAGGGTGTCACCCATCCTCTGGAACTCCCTGCCCCAACCCATCAGATTATCACCTACTCTCCTCTCCTTTAGGCGCACCCTGAAAACCCACGTCTTCAGGGAAGCCTACCCCACCCCCTGCTAACTTGCCGACCTCCTCCACTCTTCCTACCACTACATCCCCCACAGCTATCTCCTCCTGTGCCACCATCCCCTCCCTCCTAGATTGTAAGCTCGAAAGATCAGGGCCCTCGAACCCCTCGTGTATTGTATTGTTACTGTATTGTCTCATGTTCTGTCCCCCTTTGTAATGTACAGCGCTGAGCGAACCATTGGCACTTTATAAATACTGTATAATAATAATAATAGGGTGGGATCGGGGGGGGGAGTGGTCTGATCGTAACATGTTACACCCTGAATATGGGTGTAACATGTAACATGTTACGAAAGGTGAACGTATCCTTTAATGTGAGTGAATAATCCTTAGAAGCTCCTCTTATTGAAATACAGTAGCTGCTGAAGGTGACGTTAGGAAACCTTTGTGCCAGATTCTGTATCCCTGGCACAGTGTAGCTTTGTATTCTCATCTCGCACACGACTGCTGTTGCAGTATGGAGGACGATGATTTATGATTGACAGCTAATGATCTATCCACACACAACCTCTCTTCTCCTTCATTGGAGGGCAAAAACAGTGCTTTCCACAGCACATGGAGCACAGAGGATTAGGGAATCCTCAGGATGTTGGAGAAACTGTATATTTCACAGCTTCACCTACTCAGCAGGGCATGACGTTCCCCAGCCAAAAATCTGCAGACCGAAGCTCGACGTGACAGTGCCCAGATGGCACCTGAGTTAGAGACATGCAGAACTGCTAGACAAAGCAGAAAGAGGGGGAGAGGGAATAGCACAGGTACAGAATACACTGTTTCTCCTATAAAACGCAAGTTTGCTTTAAACCCTTTTATTACCTAATTAAGGCTGTAATACAGAATTACATTTAAAGGGATTTTCCACTATTGATGAATAACCAAACAAATCCATATGCTTCTTAATATCTTGTATCAAGGAACCTCCTCATTCTGGCAAGCGCTTGTTGGCTTTTCTCAGCTAAATAGAAATCAGATATTCAGATATGGTTGGAAGCAGAGTTTTTTTCTTTCTCCGAATGCAGAAACCAATTTAAATGGTATTGTTTCTGCAAAATAAATGGCCTTTCAATATCTAAAAACCCTAATTTTGCTCATTTTAACCACTTTCCTACCGGGCACTTTTACCCCCTTCGAGCCCAGGTCAATTTTCAGCTTTCATCACTCTCATGCTTTGAATGACAATTGCGCAGTCATGCAACATTGTACCCATAACATTTTTTTTTTCTCACACAAATAGAGCTTTCTTTTGGTGGTATTTAATCGACACTGGGTGTTTTTTTTTTTTTTGCAATATAAACAAAAAGAGCAAAAAATGTGAAAAAAAGTTTTTCTTTGTTTCTATTATAAAATTATGCAAACAGATAATAGTTCTCCTTCACTGATGTGCGTTGATGAGGCTGCACTGATACACAGCACTGATGGGCATGCACTGATGGGCACTGATGGGCAATTATGAGGTTGCACTGATAGGCTGCACTGATGAGGTGGTACTGATGAGGCGGCACTGGTGGGCATTGATGAAGAGGCACTGATGATGCTGCACTGATATGCAGTAATGGTGGGCACTGATAGGCGGCACTGATGGGTACTGATAGACGGCACTGATGGGCGACACTGATGGGCAGCGCTGACTGGTGGGACTGACGAGAGGCAATGCTGGGTGGCACTGATGTTTGGCACTGACTATTATTATTATACAGTATTTATAAAGCGCCAATAGTTCGCTCAGCGCTGTACATTACAAAGGGGGACAGAACATGTGACAGAACAATGCCAATACAATGCAAAACATGAGGGGATTGAGGGACCTGCTCTTTTGAGCTTACAATCTAGGGAGGAGGGGATGGTGGCACAGGAGGAGAAAGCTGTGGGGGATGTAGTGGTAGGAAGAGTGGAGGAGGACGGCAAGTTAGCAGGGGGTGGGGTAGGCTTCCCTGAAGAGATGGGTTTTCAGGGTGCACCTAAAGGAGAGGAGAGTAGGTGATAATCTGATGGGTTGGGGAAGGGAGTTCCAGAGGATGGGTGACACCCTGGAGAAGTCCTGGAGGCGGGCATGGGAGGAGAAGACCAGGGAACTAGAGAGAAGGAGGTCTTGTGAGGAGCGGAGTGTGCGTGCTGGGCGGTACTTGGATATTAGGTCAGTGATGTAGTACGGGGCAATATGGTGGACAGCTTTGTACGTCAGTGTTAGGATTTTGAATTTGATCTGTTGCGCAATCGGAAGCCAGTGGAGGGATTGGCAGAGGGGGGTGGCAGAAACGGAGCAGTTGGAAAGGTGAATGAGTCTGGCAGCCGTATTCAGGATCGACTGAAGCGGGGATAGCCAGCGGCGAGGCAGGCCAGTGAGGAGGGGGTTGCAGTAGTCGAGTCGTGATGTGATGAGGGAGTGGATGAGCTGTTTAGTGGTTTCTGGGGTTAGGAACGTGCGCATTTTGGCGATGTTGCGGAGGTGGAGTCTGCACGAGTTTGTTAAAGATTGGACTTGGGGCTGGAAGGATAGGTTGGAGTCCAGAATGACACCAAGTACTCTGGCCTGCGGGGCGGGTTTGATGGTGGCGTTGTTGGATGTGATGGAGAAGTCAATGGGGGTGGTGTGCGGGCTGGGGGGAAGACAAGAAACTCGGTTTTGGAGAGGTTCAGTTTAAGGAAGTAGAGTGACACCCAGTCTGATATGTCGCTCAGTAGGTGTGTGATTCGGGCAGAGACCGAGGAGGTGAGGTGGGGGGTTGAGAGATATATTTGTGTGTCGTCGGCATAGAGGTGGTAGTTGAAGCCGTGAGAGTGTATGAGTTGGCCAAGGAAGGAGGTGTAGATGGAGAAGAGAAGGGGCCCGAGGACAGAGCCTTGAGGGACCCCAACAGAGAGGGGGAGTGAGGGGGAGGTGGTAGCATTATAGGTAATGCTGAAAGAGCATTGTGACAGGTAGGATGAGAGCCAGGAGAGAGCAGAATCTCTGAGGCCGAGGGATGAGCACTGATGGGTGGCACTGCTGGGCACTGATCATCAGTGCTGATCTGCTTTGTGACAGTTGCCGGTTATCGGCAGTACAGCGCTGTTACAGCATGAGTAAAGTGCAGCTTATAACCGGCAACTGTATTTACTTGCTGTGATTGGCCTTTCACCTCATCATGTGATCAGCTGTGTCCTTAGGACACAGTGATCATGGAGATCACCTGGTGCACGCCACTGGGGCACACTAGAGGGAGCATTTTGGGAGGACATCTCAGAACTGGACAACCACGCTGTAGCCGTCATTCAGTTATAGCGAGGTTTGCAAGTGGTTAAGTTCATAGGTTACTGTAATGTCCAGTGCTGTAATCTCACATTAACCGCTTTCACATGGGTGGACGTCATATGATATCCTTGGGTTTAAGTGGTTGTACCAGGATGATGCCTGCAGCTACAGACATCATCCTGGTATCAAACGTTTCTCTTTTATGTAGAAGTGATTTGAGTGGCTATTCGGAAAATCAATTACTTCTCTAGGTGGTGGAAGTGGGTGCCCCACCTCTCACCGCTTCCGCCTATATCAGGCTGTCCATTCCTATTGGGGAACCTAGGACCACTCCAACCAGCAGCACACTGTACACTGCACAGATAAAGAGGGACTGATATTGTTCTAACCTCCCTGTGAGATCAGAAAGTGGAAGCAACGAGGATTTCATCACATCCAGTTTCAGTTCTTTGTTTACTAGCCTGTTACTGACCAGTGAAGCTTCTGATCAGACTGATCTGTGTCTGATCGACTGCATTGGAGGCCAGAGAAGAGATCTGGGGTCTAATAGACCCCAGATCCCTCCTTAAAGAGGACCTGTCATGGTTCATGCTATCTCAAAGCATGCTGTTCATCCCTTGTAAAAGCAATGAAAGTGATAATAAAAACATTTTTTTTCAGTTTACAAATTCTAAAATTGAAAAGAAAATGTTTTAAACTAGTTTTTAATCTGATAATAAATATTTATTTTTCTATTTTAAAAAAATCTTGGTATTCATGCTATCACAAGGCATGGTGTTCATGCCTTGTAAAAGCAATAAAAGTGATAAAAAAACAAACCAAAGCAAAAAAC